GTTTCACATGCCACACAAGTATTTCACACTGATCATGTTTCACATGCCACACAAATATATCACACTGATCATGTTTCACATGACATACAAATATATCACACTGATCATGTTTCACATGCCATACAAGTTTATCACACTGATCATGTTTCACATGCCATACAAGTATATCACACACTGATCATGTTTCACATGCCATACAAGTATATCACACTGATCATGTTTCACATGCCACACAAGTATATACATGTATCACACTGATCATGTTTCACATGCCATACAAGTATATCACACTGATCATGTTTCACATGCCATACAAGTATATCGGACTGATCATGTTTCACATGCCATACAAGTATGTATCACACTGATTATGTTTCACATGCCACACAAGTATATCACACTGATCATTTTTCACATGCCATACAAGTATATCACACTGATCATGTTTCACATGCCACACAAGTATATATCACACTGATCATGTTTCACATGCCATACAAATATATCACACTGATCATGTTTCACATGCCATACAAGTATGTCACACTGATCATGTTTCACATGCCAGACAAGAATATATCACACTGATCATGTTTCACATGCCACGCAAGTATATCACACTGATCATGTTTCACATGCCACACAAGTATATCACACTGATCATGTTTCACATGCCACACAAGAATATCACACTGATCATGTTTCACATGACATACAAATATATCACACTGATCTTGTTTCACATGCCATACAAGTATATCACACTGATTATGTTTCACATGCCACACAAGTATATACATGTATCACACTGATCATGTTTCACATGCCATACAAGTATATCACACTGATCATGTTTCACATGCCATACAAGTATATCACACTGATCATGTTTCACATGCCACACAAGTATATCACACTGATCATGTTTCACATGCCACACAAGAATATCACACTGATCATGTTTCACATGCCATACAAGTATATCACACTGATCATGTTTCACATGCCACACAAGTATATGACACTGATTATGTTTCACATGCCACACAAGTATATCACACTGATCATGTTTCACATGCCATACAAGTATATCACACTGATCATGTTTCACATGCCATACAAGTATATCACACTGATCATGTTTCACATGCCACACAAGTATATACATGTATCACACTGATCATGTTTCACATACCATACAAGTATATCACACTGATCATGTTTCACATGCCATACAAGTATGTATCACACTGATTATGTTTCACATGCCACACAAGTATATGACACTGATTATGTTTCACATGTCACACAAGTATATCACACTGATCATGTTTCACATGCCATACAAGTATATCACACTGATCATGTTTCACATGCCATACAAGTATATCACACTGATCATGTTTCACATGCCACACAAGTATATACATGTATCACACTGATCATGTTTCACATACCATACAAGTATATCACACTGATCATGTTTCACATGCCATACAAGTATGTATCACACTGATTATGTTTCACATGCCATACAAGTATATCACACTGATCATGTTTCACATGCCACACAAGTATTTCACACTGATCATGTTTCACATGCCACACAAATATATCACACTGATCATGTTTCACATGACATACAAATATATCACACTGATCATGTTTCACATGCCATACAAGTTTATCACACTGATCATGTTTCACATGCCATACAAGTATATCACACACTGATCATGTTTCACATGCCATACAAGTATATCACACTGATCATGTTTCACATGCCACACAAGTATATACATGTATCACACTGATCATGTTTCACATGCCATACAAGTATATCACACTGATCATGTTTCACATGCCATACAAGTATATCGGACTGATCATGTTTCACATGCCATACAAGTATGTATCACACTGATTATGTTTCACATGCCACACAAGTATATCACACTGATCATTTTTCACATGCCATACAAGTATATCACACTGATCATGTTTCACATGCCACACAAGTATATATCACACTGATCATGTTTCACATGCCATACAAATATATCACACTGATCATGTTTCACATGCCATACAAGTATGTCACACTGATCATGTTTCACATGCCAGACAAGAATATATCACACTGATCATGTTTCACGTGCCACGCAAGTATATCACACTGATCATGTTTCACATGCCACACAAGTATATCACACTGATCATGTTTCACATGCCACACAAGAATATCACACTGATCATGTTTCACATGACATACAAATATATCACACTGATCTTGTTTCACATGCCATACAAGTATATCACACTGATTATGTTTCACATGCCACACAAGTATATACATGTATCACACTGATCATGTTTCACATGGCATACAAGTATATCACACTGATCATGTTTCACATGCCATACAAGTATATCACACTGATCATGTTTCACATGCCACACAAGTATATCACACTGATCATGTTTCACATGCCACACAAGTATATACATGTATCACACTGATCATGTTTCACATACCATACAAGTATATCACACTGATCATGTTTCACATGCCATACAAGTATATCACACTGATCATGTTTCACATGCCACACAAGAATATCACACTGATCATGTTTCACATGCCATACAAGTATATCACACTGATCATGTTTCACATGCCACACAAGTATATCACACTGATTATGTTTCACATGCCACACAAGTATATACATGTATCACACTGATCATGTTTCACATACCATACAAGTATATCACACTGATCATGTTTCACATGCCATACAAGTATGTATCACACTGATTATGTTTCACATGCCACACAAGTATATCACACTGATCATGTTTCACATGCCATACAAGTATATCACACTGATCATGTTTCACATGCCATACAAGTATGTATCACACTGATTATGTTTCACATGCCACACAAGTATATCACACTGATTATGTTTCACATGCCATACAAGTATATCACACTGATTATGTTTCACATGCCATACAAGTATGTATCACACTGATTATGTTTCACATGCCACACAAGTATATCACACTGATTATGTTTCACATGCCATACAAGTATATCACACTGATTATGTTTCACATGCCATACAAGTATATCACACTGATCATGTTTCACATGCCACACAAGTATATACATGTATCACACTGATCATGTTTCACATACCATACAAGTATATCACACTGATCATGTTTCACATGCCATACAAGTATATCACACTGATCATGTTTCACATGCCACACAAGAATATCACACTGATCATGTTTCACATGCCATACAAGTATGTCACACTGATCATGTTTCACATGCCACAGAAGTATATGACACTGATTATGTTTCACATGCCACACAAGTATATCACACTGATCATTTTTCACATGCCATACAAGTATATCACACTGATCATGTTTCACATGCCATACAAGTATATCACACTGATCATGTTTCACATGCCACACAAGTATATACATGTATCACACTGATCATGTTTCACATACCATACAAGTATATCACACTGATCATGTTTCACATGCCATACAAGTATGTATCACACTGATTATGTTTCACATGCCACACAAGTATATGACACTGATTATGTTTCACATGTCACACAAGTATATCACACTGATCATGTTTCACATGCCATACAAGTATATCACACTGATCATGTTTCACATGCCATACAAGTATATCACACTAATCATGTTTCACATGCCACACAAGTATATACATGTATCACACTGATCATGTTTCACATACCATACAAGTATATCACACTGATCATGTTTCACATGCCATACAAGTATGTATCACACTGATTATGTTTCACATGCCACACAAGTATATCACACTGATCATGTTTCACATGCCATACAAGTATATCACACTGATCATGTTTCACATGCCACACAAGAATATCACACTGATCATGTTTCACATGCCATACAAGTATATCACACTGATCATGTTTCACATGCCACACAAGTATATGACACTGATTATGTTTCACATGCCACACAAGTATATCACACTGATCATGTTTCACATGCCATACAAGTATATCACACTGATCATGTTTCACATGCCATACAAGTATATCACACTGATCATGTTTCACATGCCACACAAGTATATCACACTGATCATGTTTCACATGCCACACAAGTATATACATGTATCACACTGATCATGTTTCACATACCATACAAGTATATCACTGATCATGTTTCACATGCCATACAAGTATGTATCACACTGATCATGTTTCACATGCCACACAAGTATATCACACTGATCATGTTTCACATGCCATACAAGTATATACATGTATCACACTGATCATGTTTCACATGCCATACAAGTATATCACACTGATCATGTTTCACATGCCATACAAGTATGTATCACACTGATTATGTTTCACATGCCACACAAGTATATCACACTGATTATGTTTCACATGCCACACAAGTATATCACACTGATCATGTTTCACATGCCACACAAGTATATCACACTGATCATGTTTACCATGCCACACAAGTATATCACACTGATAATGTTTCACATGCCACACAAGTATATCACACTGATCATGTTTACCATGCCACACAAGTATATCACACTGATCATGTTTCACATGCCACACAAGTATATCACACTGATCATGTTTACCATGCCACACAAGTATATCACACTGATAATGTTTCACATGCCACACAAGTATATCACACTAATCATGTTTCACATGCCACACAAGTATATCACACTGATCATGTTTACCATGCCACACAAGTATATCACACTGATCATGTTTCACATGTAATACTATTATCTCACACTGATATGTTTCACATGCCATACAATTATTCCACACTGATCATATTCACATGCCACACAAGTATATCACACTGATCATGTTTGGAAGATGTGTGTTGATGCAGTTGACTGTTTATTCCAGACACAACTGCTGAGGAAGACGATGAGCTGCATGAGCTGACAAACCCTGACACCATCGCCATTGAGCCCAACTACAATGGCCCTCATTTGTTCTTTCCACTCACAAGTATCCAAGTTAAAGGACTCATAAAGGCATTCAAGACAAAACAGGTGGGTTGGAGTGTTGGTTCACTTCAACAGGTGGCTCGAAGTGTTGGTTCACTTCAACAGGTGGCTCGAAGTGTTGATTCACTTCAACAGGTGGGTCGAAGTGTTGGTTCACTTCAACAGGTGGGTTGGAGTGTTGGGTCACTTCAACAGGTGGGTTGGAGTGTTGGTTCACTTCAACAGGTGGCTCGAAGTGTTGGTTCACTTCAACAGGTGGCTCGAAGTGTTGGTTCACTTCAACAGGTGGGTCGAAGTGTTGGTTCACTTCAACAGGTGGGTTGGAGTGTTGGGTCACATCAACAGGTGGGTCGAAGTGTTGGTTTACTTCAACAGGTGGGTCGAAGTGTTGGTTTACTTCAACAGGTGGGTCGAAGTGTTGGTTCACTTCAACAGGTGGGTTGAAGTGTTGATTCACTTCAACAGGTGGGTCGAAGTGTTGGTTTACTTCAACAGGTGGGTTGAAGTGTTGGTTTACTTCAACAGGTGGGTTGAAGTGTTGGTTTACTTCAACAGGTGGGTCGAAGAGTTGATTCACTTCAACAGGTGGGTAGAACGTTGTAAGTACCTGCTTATGTTGTCACATGTCTTCTGTTGTTAGCAACTCCATGTGAAGTACCTGCTTATTTTGTCACATGATATCTTCTGTTGTTAGCAACTCCATGTGAAGTACCAGCTTATGTTGTCACATGATACCTTATGTTGTTAGCAACTCAGCGTGAAGTACCTGCTAATGTTGTCACATGATATCTTCTGTTGTATACCAGCTTATGTTGTCACATGTCTTCTGTTGTTATCAACTCCATGTAAAGTACCTGCTTATCTTGTCACATGATATCTTCTGTTGTTAGCAACTCCACGTCAAGTACCAGCTTATGTTGTCACATGATATCTTCTGTTGTTAGCAACTCCACGTCAAGTACCAGCTTATGTTGTCACATGATATCTTCTGTTGTTAGCAACTCCACCTGAAGTACCTGCTTATGTTGTCACATGATATCGTCTGTTGTTAGCAACTCCATATGAAGTACCTGCTTATGTTGTCACATGATATCTTCTGTTGTTAGCAACTCCACGTGAAGTTACTGCTAATGTTGTCACATGATATCTTCTGTTGTTAGCCACTCCACGTGAAGTACCAGCTTATGTTGTCATATGATATCTTCTGTTGTTAGCAACTCCGTGTGAAGTACCAGCTTATGTTGTCACATGATATCTTCTGTTGTTAGCAACTCCACGTGAAGTACCAGCTTATGTTGTCACATGATATCTTCTGTTGTTAGCAACTCCACGTGAAGGACCAGCTTATGTTGTCACATGATATCTTCTGTTGTTAGCAACTCCACGTGAAGTACCAGCTTATGTTGTCACATGATATCTCCTGTTGTTAGCAAATCCATGTGAAGTACCAGCTTATGTTGTCACATGATATCTTCTGTTGTTAGCAACTCCATGTGAAGTATCTGCTTGTGTTGTCACATGATATCTTCTGTTGTTAGCAACTCCATGTGAAGTATCTGCTTGTGTTGTCACATGATATCTTCTGTTGTTAGCAAATCCATGTGATGTACCTGCTTATGTTGTCACATGATATCTTCTGTTGTTAGCAACTCCATGTGAAGTACCAGCTTATGTTGTCACATGATATCTTCTGTTGTTAGCAACTCCATGTGAAGTACCAGCTTATGTTGTCACATGATATCTTCTGTTGTTAGCAACTCCATGTGAAGTACCAGCTTATGTTGTCACATGATATCTTCTGTTGTTAGCAACTCCATGTGAAGTACCTGCTTATGTTGTCACATGATATCTTCTGTTGTTAGCAACTCCATGTGAAGTACCAGCTTATGTTGTCACATGATATCTTCTGTTGTTAGCAACTCCATGTGAAGTATCTGCTAATGTTGTCACATGATATCTTCTGTTGTTAGCAACTCCATGTGAAGTATCTGCTTGTGTTGTCACATGATATCTTCTGTTGTTAGCAAATCCATGTGAAGTACCAGCTTATGTTGTCACATGATATCTTCTGTTGTTAGCAAATCCATGTGAAGTACCAGCTTATGTTGTCACATGATATCTTCTGTTGTTAGCAACTCCATATGAAGTACCTGCTTATGTTGTCACATTATATCTTCTGTTGTTAGCAACTCCACCTGAAGTACCTGCTTATGTTGTCACATGATATCTTCTGTTGTTAGCAACTCCATATGAAGTACCTGCTTATGTTGTCACATGATATCTTCTGTTGTTAGCAACTCCACCTGAAGTACCTGCTTATGTTGTCACATGATATCTTCTGTTGTTAGCAAATCCATGTGAAGTATCTGCTTGTGTTGTCACATGTCTTCTGTTGTTAGCAACTCCATGTGAAGTACCTGCTGATGTTGTCACATGATATATTCTGTTGTTAGCAACTCCATATGAAGTACCTGCTTATGTTGTCACATGATATCTTCTGTTGTTAGCAACTCCACCTGAAGTACCTGCTTATGTTGTCACATGATATCTTCTGTTGTTAGCAAATCCATGTGAAGTATCTGCTTGTGTTGTCACATGATATCTTCTGTTGTTAGCAACTCCACGTGAAGGACCAGCTTATGTTGTCACATGATATCTTCTGTTGTTAGCAACTCCACGTGAAGGACCAGCTTATGTTGTCACATGATATCTTCTGTTGTTAGCAAATCCATGTGAAGTAACAGCTTATGTTGTCACATGTCTTCTGTTGTTAGCAACTCCACGTGAAGTACCAGCTTATGTTGTCACATGATATCTTCTGTTGTTAGCAACTCCACGTGAAGTACCAGCTTATGTTGTCACATGATATCTTCTGTTGTTAGCAACTCCACGTGAAGTACCAGCTTATGTTGTCACATGTCTTCTGTTGTTAGCAACTCGACGTGAAGTACCAGCTTATGTTGTCACATGATATCTTCTGTTGTTAGCAACTCCACGTGAAGGACCAGCTTATGTTGTCACATGATATCTTCTGTTGTTAGCAACTCCACGTGAAGGACCAGCTTATGTTGTCACATGATATCTTCTGTTGTTAGCCACTCCACGTGAAGTACCAGCTTATGTTGTCACATGTCTTCTGTTGTTAGCAACTCGACGTGAAGTACCAGCTTATGTTGTCACATGATATCTTCTGTTGTTAGCAACTCCACGTGAAGGACCAGCTTATGTTGTCACATGATATCTTCTGTTGTTAGCAACTCCATGTGAAGTACCAGCTTATGTTGTCACATGATATCTTCTGTTGTTAGCAAATCCATGTGAAGTACCAGCTTATGTTGTCACATGATATCTTCTGTTGTTAGCAACTCCATGTGAAGTACCTGCTGATGTTGTTGCACGAGGCCAGAAAGATCCTCAAGAAGAGAGGGAATATCAACTATGCAACCACATCTATCTCCAAGCAGATCACAGTGTGTGGAGATCTCCATGGCAAGCTGGATGACCTGTACATGATATTCCATAAGGTATGGCACAAGGGTCCCCAAGGGCTACTATCATGACTATAGCAGATATTGTGAGAGTAAACTTGTTTCCCCTGAACATTTGTTCTAGGGGAATCGATATGTTCCTGTGGATTAATATACCATGGATTAGGACACTCTCCTTCTCTCGGTCAATTTCTACATAACATATTCATACCTAGGACTGATAAATTGCACACAATATCACCCGGTACAGAAAAGCATTTTAGAGAAATCCTCTATTATCCAGCTTATCATATCTCTATTGTATTATGAAAACTATCCTGGACCTATTCGCCACCATAGCCCTATTTAGGATGTGACATCACCAGTGCCATGCATCTGCATCACTAAGTTCGCACAGAATGTGTCTCGCTCATGAGCTTGAAATTAATATCTCTTTGGAACACAAGTTAGGCATAGAGGTATATTCAAAATCATCCTAACAAGCCCTCAGAATTCAAACGAATAAAAAGATTGCCATTTATGATTTTTATCTGGAAAAGATGTTTTCTTGAGTACAAAGACAGGGAAGGAAGTCCCTACACTACAAGACGTTTCAGTTGTAATTGCGACGGCACGCCAAAGGCAAGACAAGTACTTGTGGTATCGCTACTTGTTAGAATTTAAATCATTCAAACCAGCCTCAAAAGGAAGCTTCAGTGGAGAATGGGTCAATGGTACTGATCATGACAGAATGAAGATACAATACACTGGAGCATCTTGGATGTGGGGAAGCATCTTTCTAATTCATTTAGCAATTCTAAGTTGATCAATGCTGCTTTTCTGAAGAGGCATTTTTAAAGAGTGAGTGAGTTAGCTTTAATGCGGCTTTGAGCATAATTTCAGTTATATCACAGCATGTCAGCTTAATGTGGGAGGAAGCCCGAAGTGATGAAGGTCTCAAACATTTACCTTTCTGGTGAAACCCACGAGAGTGGGTGTGGTGCTGAAAAACCTAGAAACATAAAAGGGGTGAACCGAGATTCGAACCCACAATCATAGGAACAATAGACATCATTGTAATTAATTCAGAGAATACTACTTCTATTACATCATTGGCATGATCCCGAATTTTGGCTGCAATCACACAAAACTAATCTTCAGCATTTAAAACAGAAGTCCTCTTAACTATCAACTACACACAACCAGTTGTCAAGACAATAGAACCGGCAATCAGCATCCTGCTCTTTAGCTTGCCAAGGCGGGAAAACCTCTGTACTTTCCAAAACATCTTTCCAAATCATCTAGAGACAGAAGAATGAGGAGGAGGGTGGGAGTACGTCAGATGTAATAGAGGTTGTATTCTTAGAATTATTAACAATGATGTCTATAATTCTTACAAATTCTGAACCTCTATTATATCATTACCAGAATATACCAGAGGGTTAGGCGGGTTCTGGCTCTGGTATACTCCCAGCATAGTTGACAGTAGAATAACATTTTGTGATTTCATCCGATGATAGTTGTTTCCAATCCTGAAGGTGAAAAACAATCACCTCAAGAGGACAAAAAACTTTATGTGCAAAACACAAATATGTTGTATCATCACTAGAACTACCATGATATTTGTTATTCTGTGTATAAATAATGTCGTTGATACTCTAAAGCCATCTCTTTTATTGTCATTTCTGGTTTGGTGACATCACTTCCGCCTTTTTTAATTTAATATGACATCATTCTTACATCATTTCCGGTTTGATGTCACTTCTAGTTATATTTCTCCCTCTGATTGAGATGCCAATTCCGATTTTTAAGTGTCATTTCCAGTTTTGTGACATCACTTCTGGCTATGTCCGGTCTATGATGTCACTTCTGGTGACTTCTGGTTATGACGACACTTCATTAGTGACGTCATTTCTAATACTGACATCACTTCTGGTCTTAATCTACCGTGACATCGTTTCCAGTAAATCTGCTTCTAAGTAGCCTGTAGCCTATGCACCCACCTTTAAGAAGGCAGGTTCCGGCCCCCAAATCTCCCTTTTTTCCATAGAAGGAAGGAATATTATTGGCTTATGATAGATTGCCCTGCGGCAATCGGACCTAGTGAGTGTGTCGTGTGTCCCTCCCATGTGCAGCTGAACATTACGCAAGTAAACGTTGTTGAAGGAGTCCCATTGACAGCTGGATATAAGTTGTTCTATGGAAACTGTATTCCGCGATGCGATACTTGATGGACAGAGCAGCATGCGGGTATAGGCAAGGAGTCTTAGGCTCGTTTATAGCTTTAAGCTATTGTCGATACTTAATTGCCATCCGTAGCTTTAGGAATGTCTTTTTCCGAGAATGCACAAGATAAATAGTCTCTTCCTATGTCTCCTATGAGGTTCTGTAGCTTTCAGACAGAACTTTAAGTCATGCATTTGACACAGTAATTGATCTGGGTGGTCCATTGGGTCCACTGACGGTGCTGATGCAGGAATCGTAAAAAAAGAGTTGTGCAAAAGATGTGGCTTGGTTCTTGGCGACAAAGTCTGATAGTGATCTGACTGAAATTGAGCTTCAGACTTCGGCTTTTGTCAGAGTTGAAAAATCTAGAGCATGGATCTCTTATACTCTAGCCGCTGTGACCATTGCAAGTAAAAAGTCTGTTTTCCTTGATATCTGGATCAAAGTGGATTTGTCGAGGGGTTCAAATGTTGCCGCTAAAGAGTGCTGAAAGAACCACTGAAAGATTCCAATTCTGGAAGATTCTTGGAGCTCTGATGTCTTCCATAAGAAAAGACCTCACAAGTCTATTGATAGAGGGATGAACACTTATAGACAATCTATCAGAAGGTAGTACGGAATAAGTTTTCTATCTTGCCGAAGATGGAGTAAACGTCTGCTTCCATGGGGATAGTCACAGTTCTGTCTCCCAGGTTATGTCGTCTTCTCTACTGGACAAATGATTCCATCCATTGTCATAAAGTATTGAAGATGGTCTCCATGACTAAGCCACGGCTGCAGAGACGGATTTAGAGAAACCTGCATCTTGCATTTTTGTGGAGTGGTCAGATGAAGCATATGCAGATTGTTGTGAAAGAATAAGGGAGCACATTGTTTTAAACACTGTAAAATGACATGCTATCATGCAATCCCACAGGAAACAATTCACACAAACCCATCAAAACATTTGATTCTGACATGTGTTGCATTTGTATGCATGCTATTTCAAATGTACTACCAATATTGCTTTTTTTGCTATATTTTTCATTGTTCCCTTAAATATTTCCATCGGTCTCGGACTGGTTGACGTAGGGGATCTTGTCTTCAAGGAGGATGGATTGGTTCTTCCATGCGTAGTGGCAACAGTCTGGGAAACCATGGTCTGCTTGGCTGTAAGGGCAATATCAGGAGGAGGATGCAATCTGTCATCTCTGTCTTCCGGAATACTTTGTCTGGTAGAGTCCATGGAGGAACACATAGGTGAACAACCGGTCCAATCCATCAATAGGGCGTCCACTTCAAGAACCATCGGGTCTGGTACCGTCATACATAGACTGGAAGACGGTTGTTTAGACAAGTCGCATTATAATATCCCATAATGACACTATCCATATACGTCTGGGTGTAAGGACCATTCGATTGTCACTTTCCTCCCCTTGGTGAGAAAAGGCTGTCCACTAGGGAATATGTCTCGCTTCCATCTGGCAATTGATGGAGTCTGTCAAGGCAAACAATCATTTCATCACCGTCATCAGGGAGCTGGACTTTGTTCCTCATGGCTTCTGAATGTAAGCTACCATTGTGGTGTTGTCTGTGGCTATGAGGAGTGAGATAGTTGGACTTTTCAGTTCATGATTGCCTTCATTTTTAGGCAGTTTATGTGCAAGTTCCTTTCAGAAGAGTTCCAAAGACCTTGAACCTTGAGATTGTCTATATGGGTTCCTTATCCCAAGTTGGATGCATCCGTGAATAGGTGATGCTCGAGTGCCGGATCTACTAGGGGAATGCAAAAGGAGGTTCTGAATCAAATCTCCTGGAATCTGGAGTGTGTCCAGGGATCTCCCTCTGCATGTCAAATCTTTAAGGTATGTTAGCCTCCCCAATAGAGACATCCACCAATGGAGAGATGGTACTGTGTGTAACATCATCAAGGTCTTGGTGTAACAATCCTCCGTGGGGCATAGACAGCGGAAGATGTAGCCATCTTCCCGATGCAAAAGAATCAACTGACTTTATATGTCCAGTTTCCACCCTTGCCAAACAATGCTAGAATTCCTGGACTCGATTGTAGCGCCACCAGTGGCTATTACGAGTCATGTCCCTTCTATGCCTCTCCTATGGACCAATCAGATTCCACCTCTCGTATCACATGCATTGGCTTCAAACAAAATGGTGGCGCCTAGTTAAGACGATCTGATCGATAATCAAGATCTATATTGTGATAAAGCAGGTCTTACATAGCGAGGTGCATCAAATCACATGAGCACCTTAATTAAAAACATGAATTTTTTGGGAAAATATCTGTTGACAACGAGTTGGCAGTGCACATGCTTTGCAATCCTGCAATCAACCCAAATCTGCATGACAATTTACGAACCGGATTTCTATTTTGTTGCGTGATTGTGATTGGATTATGCTACTCTAGCCAAAATGTAATTCCATAATACCAGCCTAGTTTGGCAAGGGTGGAAACTGGACTTTCATAGTGAGTTAACTCACTTGCCTCGGGAAGGTGATATGTATGAATTTGGTCCAAAAGTAAACTATGTCTTGTGTTGGGATGGTCTCTGACTTAGTTTGATGTACCAAGAAACCCAGGTAAGACATTAGTTGAATCAGGAAGATCGTGCGCTGTAGTAACCTTGATCTGTCTTGATCTGGTGGCAAAAAATTGTCTTGGAAGACAAACTAGTTGCAGATGGGTGAAGTTGATAATCGCAGTTGTGACTCTTGTGCCAAGGTGCTAATGATATCCCGAATTGAAGAACATGGAATTCATATCTTCTTCTCTTCATAATTTGTGATGGATGTATGGGTACACGAAGATGTGCATCTTGCAGATCTATACTGATAAGCCAGTCTCTCGTTCTGAGGCTTGAATGCAACTTTAGTATTGATTCCATCTGGAACTTGGGTGGCAGTATGAGAAAAAAATTGTTGAGGATCTTGAGATCTATTACAATCCTCATGTCTGGGGAGTTCTTCTTTGGTACACGAAATACTGGGGATTAAAATCAAGACATCTGTTTCTTTAAGTTCCCATATGGCCTTCCTTTCTAGTAGTGCCCCAATAGCAATGACAGCTGCTAGTTGCTTGGCCCCTTCCAGATGGAAATAGAGAATACTACACTCATTCTCGTTAAATACCATTTTTACAAAATGAGTATCTTACCGAACAAAAGCGAGGTCAGATACTTTAGAAAGTTCACGTGTTTCGTAAAAATGGTATTTTATTTATTACCTGTGTTAAATATATATTTAAGTGTAAATACATAACAACTTTCGTTCGTTGAGAGACCAAACTGAAAAATCTTGTTGTGCATGAATATTGATAAATGACATTTTGACATTTCTATGCATACGCATTAACAACACGCTCCTGCAGTTGTGTTTGCAAACATAACAGCACGGATGCTCAAGATCCTTTTGGAAGAATTTCTTCAACTTATGGTCATTCAAGCGCCATGTTGTTGGTACGCAGGACACCTATAAGAAAATTTGAAAAATCGCATTAGCGCCAGGCTTTGAACATCGGACTAACAGTCGGTCACTCACACTGAAGGGGTCCCGCCTGTGCAATCAAACTGGTTCGGTGTCCTTGACCTATCAGCTGAATTTATATCATGTCCGTACCATTTTGGAAGAGGGAAATCAGAGTGTTCACCAAAGACGTTCATGTTAACTGTAAGACCCTATATTAAAGATGTGAAAATCAACAAACTCAAGTCTGCTTGCATGTCAGTGACAGCTTCGAATGAAAGGCAAGGTCACCACTGAAATAAGAAAAGACAACTGTCATCTACTCACAGCGTTTGACGCTGGAGATAGGGAATGTTATTGTTTACATTTGGGATAAATTTGGGCCACATAATCAGAAGTCAGGCACACTTCTACGGAATTTTCGATTGATTTGTATCGGAAATGTTCAGTTTGGGTGATCTGGTCGTGCAGTCGTGAACAAACAACTCCCTAAACAGTGCCACAAAATATGCTTTGAAGAGGACACAGATGGCACAACCAGACCATCCCAAGTAAGTCTAGATATCTGTCCAGATAGTTTAAACTGACTTCATTTCACCACACTTATCCTTTTACGTTAAATCAAATTGAAAGTTGCGAAATTTGATGCATGTGACTATCTTATTTGGTTTAATAAAGTGTTTGTAAACATCTCTCACTCTCATGAGATTGCTTCTACTCCTTGTGAATGAAGTCTCGCGATTTTTATGAATGAAAAAAGTAGCCCCGGTGTGACTGAGGTCATGATTATCAAATCAAAAAGAATAAAACAAGGTCAACCTTGTACGACACACGTGTGACGTACAGATTTAATATCTTCACCCCGTGGGTAATAAATCAAGTTTTACCCTTTTGATACCATGCTGAGGATCCAGCACGGGATCAGCTTCCAGTTCTGGGAGTATGACAAGAGATGTGCCTTACTGGACCTTGAGTCGGCGTTATATTGAAAGTCAGCAATCTTAAATTGTAGTCCATTGGATTCCCCGGCGCTTATAGTCAGATTGGTGTGGTGACTTCACTGGTCATTGCGCTCTATCCCTTCTCTGAAATAGTTGAAAAAAATCCTTCTCAAGAGGAAGGAATTTTTTCCTAGCGGCTTCGTTTAATTCTGTGTTATGGGTAGAAACTCAAGAACGTTGGCTGGGAAGGAAGAACCATGGGCCTCAACCTTAGGTTGATAGTAGAAACCTGAAAACGTTCAGTAGTACCTTGTTTCACTTCTTCAATAACTTCACTAGGTTTATCATTGAAGATCTTGGGTGCTGTGATGTGCTGAGACAAGACCATTCTCCTCGTATGATCTGAAACAGCTCTGGGGCATGTCTGGGACAATAGGTGGTGCCGTTGAGTTCACAAAATCAGGCCACAAAACAATTAATGTCCGATGTCCATGGAGTATTTATCAGCAGCCGCCACATCTAGCTGAAGGAAGCTTAACTATGGTGTTTGGAGACTGGACCAGTTTCTGAAAGTCCTCATCCAAAACTTGAGAAGGGGAGACGATTGGCCTGTCTCAACTGATGCAAGGTCAGTGATCTTGTGAGCATAGCTTGGCCACGGGAGAGTATGATAATGGGTGGAACTGGGGCCTGAGATCCCACATACCCTGCCATCTGTGGCAATTCAAATTCCTCCGACTTCGGTTGTAACAAAGGTATAAGATAAAACAACTGTTTGATCTGTCCTGAGGTAGAGAAATAAGGGTCAAAATCTACCAATGGAGAATAATCAGATCGATCAAAAGTATCTTCAACTTCCTCCGAGTCCATAGTATCAGGGGTAATCCTTGGGGGTGGTAAAGCCTGGCATATGGCAGCCAGATCAGTCAATGGCTTCACATGATCATCACCTGTCTCATCGTCCAAGGGTGACCACGACTCGGGGACGATAAAGGCCCAGGAAGTGTGAGACTTTAATACATATGAAACGGTTATTGGACAGTCAGCTTGGTCTTGATTGCCTTCTCTACTGTCCTTATCTGAGTGCTTCAGAGACGCCCGAGGGTCCAGGGCCTTGTGTTCAGAAGAACCCATATGGGAACTGTGTGGAGACTGAGACCATGATGACCTGGTACAATGACGGTGGCTCAGCTTCTCCCGGGTCTGTGCAGGTACCGTATGGTGATGACCTGCTGTGTTTAGGCAGCTTGGTGCTTGTCTGGTCCATGCAGGAGGTGGATGGTTGGTTTCCCTTGCAATGGTCCTGGTTACTGTGCCAGCTGTCATTCTTGGGGAGGTAAAGCTTACTGGCATCTACCTCCCTGGTCAATTAGTGACAATCTAGGTGCTCCTACAGACGGTGGTAGAGGTTTATCCAGTGGCTGTCCTCCTAGTGGCCTATTCTTGGATCTTTCCGTTTGTAGTTGTTTCAGCTGTTCAAACTTGGTATATAAGGCCTCTAGGTGAGAATCAAACATAGATTCCATTGCCATCTTCTACAGATCCAAGGGCATTGTCAGTGTTGTCACTGGTGGAGTAGGAATCTTAGGCGTTCCCGATCTCAAAGGTGTCTCAACTGGAGTAGCAGTAGAGGTAAAGGAAATAACATCAGTCATCTTCTTGGCTGCCTCTTTCTCCCTTGGCTTCTTGATGGGTTCAAAAAGCTTGTTGAAAACTGTCTTAGGGACACGACTCACTGCGAGTCTCTTCTGTGCATGAGGTGTCTCTAGATGGGCATCCCCTGTAATCATAGACTTTCCACATGATTTACAGGCTGGAGCTTGAGGATGCCGTCTGGACTCACACACACACCAAGCACACTAATACTTGAGTGAGTATCATCTGATCAGGACCTTTACTAAAACGGGCTTCTAAGAGTTGAATAAGTTGAAAAATTGATATCAACTAATTATCTGAAGTTTAGATATCTAGTGTGACTACATAGCCCTAAGTGCTCGAGATTAGACTCAGTTGAAATGCTGATGTTGGCTCTAGAACACAAGGAAACAAGTTTTCCCATCTTGGCAAGCTAGAGAGCTGGATGCTGATTGGTGGTCCTATTGTCCTGACAACTAGCTGTGTGCAGTTGACAGTAAAGAGGACTTCTGTTGAAAATTGATTATTAGACTCAGATGACTGGGCCACCTGTGCCCCCGACATACACTAAGCAATTTAAATAATGAGTCATGGACTTACTCCATCAGATAACTTGTCTCCATTTTGGAAGTTTGGTCTTTAATCCTATTTTGCACAAGGAAGAGTGAGTGAGTGAGTGAGTATGGTTTTACGCCGCTTTTAGCAATATTCCAGCAATATCACAGCGGGGGACACAAATAATGGGCTTCCCACATTGTACCCATGTCGGGAATCGAACCCGGGTCTTCGGCGTGACGAGCGAACGCCTTAACCACTAGGCTACCCGACCGCCCTGCACAAGGAAGATGTTACAGGTCTACATAAAAGAAATTATAAGACACATTCATGCTTGATAATTGTACTATTTCTAATCTCTGCATAAACTACTCTCACTATAAATAAAGGTTGAATACTACAGTGATGCTTTTAACATTTCAGAATGGCCTACCATCAGTTGACAATCCATATGTATTTAATGGAGATTTTGTTGACCGTGGGCCCACATCAGTAGAAGTGGCAACAATTCTGTTTGCAAGTTTCGTTGTGTATCCGAACGAGGTGTATTTGAACAGAGGCAACCATGAAGACCACATCATGAACATGAGGTACACATCCATTCAGTCACCTCCGACATGTGTCATTGTTAGTGACATGGTAGCAAGTAAATTAGACAATCTTGCTTCCCACAATATTTTTCCTCATAAATGAAATCTTCACGCCTTCTTGCACCAAAACATACCTCATGTTATTCATGAATGTTTTAAAGAACTAATTTCAAAGAAGTCATACATGTTGCAATAATTGTATTCATTTTTCAGATACGGTTTTATAAAAGAAGTCATGAGAAAATACAAAGTATGTTACTTTTTTTCTTTTTCACAATCATCATTTAAATAATCAAGAAAAACTTGTATAATAACTCCCAATCACTATTATTTCTCACAACTCCTTCAGTGCATCTTCATTCATGGCCAGTTGAATTATGCTTCACAGCAAATAACAAGCAAATCCCACTTGATGGATATGCACATAGTTATAGCTAGTTTCTGCACTAACATTGGAATGATGAATTGTCACCTGTCTCACCAGCAGCAGCATCTCAAACAAGACTTCTGTCATAACATTTGTGTATCATTAAATAACTTTTAGCATATCTTTATTTCTCACTTCATCCAGTCAGGCATTTGATGAGTTGGTCATAAATATATATTCCAGCACCATGCAGACAAAGCAATCAAAATGTTTGAAGAGATCTTCAGCTGGCTGCCATTGGCGACAGTGATTGATGATAAAGTTTTAGTGGTGCATGGTGGGATATCCGAGCAAGTCAACTTGGAGGCCCTTGACCAAATTGACAGACACAAGGTACACTACTACTTATCGTGATTATGTATACCATTCATTTCATCAACTAAATTGAAATATTCTCTGTAGTCTCCTAAATATATCTCTCTTGTCTATTTACTAAAGTAATAGGTGATTACTCTAGATATGTTTATAAAAACAGTGATACATTTTCCAACATGAAACTATTCAAAGTGGAAACCTATCTGGACAAAAATATTCTTTTCAAAATTGTCCAAATAATTGATTTATTATCAAACAATAGATAACCACTCTAAAGTTAACTCAGTGTCACTGCAATACACATTTCAGATATTGTAATATGGACTAATGACAGAGTAGTGCGACAACCATCGTATCTCCCATTCTATAACTTGGACTAATGACAGAGTAGTGCGACAACCATCGTAACTCCCATTCTATAACATGGACTAATGAGAGAAGTAATGCGACAACCATCATATCTCCTATTCTAAAACATGGACTAATGACAGAGTAGTGCGACAACCATCGTATCTCCCATTCTATAACATGGACTAATGACAGAGTAGTGCTACAACCATCGTAACTCCCATTCTATAACATGGACTAATGACAGAGGTAATGCGACAACCATCGTATCTCCCATTCTATAACATTGACTAATGACAGAGTAGTGCGACAACCATCATATCTCCCATTCTATAACATGGACTAATGACAGAAGTAATGCGACAACCATCGTATCTCCCATTCTATAACATGGACAAATGACAGAGTAGTGCGACAAGCATCGTATCTCCCATTCTATAACACGGACTAATGACAGTAGTAATGCGACAACCATCGTATCTTCCATTCTATAACATGGACTAATGACAGGGTAGTACGACAACCATCATTACTCCCATGCTATAACATGGACTAATGACAGAATTAATGCTACAACCATCGTAACTCCCATTCTATAACATGGACTAATGTCAAAAATAATGCTACAACCATCGTATCTCCCATTCTATAACATGGACTAATGACAGAGTAGTGCGATAAAAATCGTAACTCCCATTCTATAACATGGACTAATGACAGAGTAGTGCGATAAAAATCGTAACTCCCATTCTATAACATGGACTAATGACAGAAGTAATGCTACAACCATCGTAACTCCCATTCTATAACATGGACCAATGTCAGAAATAATGCTACAACCATCGTATCTCCCATTCTATAACATGGACTAATGACAGAGTAGTGCGACAACCATCGTAACTCCCATTCTATAACATGGACCAATGTCAGAAATAATGCTACAACCATCGTATCTCCCATTCTATAACATGGACTAATGACAGAGTAGTGCGACAACCATCGTAACTCCCATTCTATAACAAGGACTAATGACAGAAGTAATGCTACAACCATCGTAACTCCCATTCTATAACATGGACTAATGTCAGAAATAATGCTACAACCATCGTATCTCCCATTCTATAACATGGACTAATGACAGTAGTAGTGCTACCACCATCGTAACTCCCATTCTATAACATGGACTAATGACAGATGACAGAAGTAATACGACAACCATCGTAACTACCTTTCTATAACATGGACTAATGACAGAAGTAATGCTACAACCATCGTAACTCCCATTCTATAACATGGACTAATGACAGAAATAATGCTACAACCGTCGTAACTCCCATTCTATAACATGGACTTATGACAGAAGTAATGCTACAACCATCGTAACTCCTATTCTATAACATTGACTTATGACAGAAGTAATGCTATAACCATTGTAACTCCCATTCTATAACATGGACTTATGACAGAAGTAATGCTACAACCATCGTAACTCCTTTCTATAACATAGACTAATGACAGAAGTAGTGTTACAACCATCGTCACTCCCATTCTACAACATGGCCTTATGACAGAAGTAATACTTCAACCATCGTAACTCCTATTCTATAACATAGTCTAATGACAGAAGTAATGCTACAACCATCATAACTCCCATTCTATAACATGGACTAATGACAGAAGTAATGCTACAACCATCGTAACTGCTATTCTATAACATAGACGTATGTCAGAAGTAATGCTACAACCATCGTAACTCCTATTCTATAACATAGACTTATGTCAGAAGTAATGCTACAACCATCGTAACTCCCATTCTATAACATGGACTGATGACAGAAGTAGTGTTACAACCTTTGTAACTTCCATTCTATAACATAGACTTATGTCAGAAGTAATGCTACAACCATCGTAACTCCCATTCTATAACATGGACTGATGACAGAAGTAGTGTTACAACCTTTGTAACTCCCATTCTATAACGTGGACTTATGAGAGAAGTAGTGTTACAACCATCTTAACTCCCATTCCATAACATTGACAAATGACAGAAGTAAAGCTATAACCATCGTAAATCCCATTCTATAACATGGACTAATGACAGAAGTAGTGCTACAACCATCGTAACTCCCATTCTATAACATGGACTTATGACAGAAGTGGTGTTACAACCATAGTAAATCCAATTCTATAACATGGACTAATGACAAAAGTAGTGCTACAACCATCATAAATCCCATTCTATAACATTGACTAATGACAGAAGTAGTGCTACCACCATCGTAACTCCCACACTCTAACATGGACTAATGACAAAAGTAGTGCTAAAACCATCATAAATCCCATTCTATAACATTGACTAATGACAGAAGTAGTGCTACCACCATCGTAACTCCCACACTCTAACATGGACTAATGACAGTAGTAGTGCTACCACCATCGTTACTCCCATTCTATAACATGGACTAATGACAGATGACAGAAGTAATATGACAACCATCGTAACTCCCTTTCTATAACATGGACTAATGACAGAAGTAATGCTACAACCATCGTATCTCCCATTCTATAACATGGACTAATGACAGAAATAATGCTACAACCGTCGTAACTCCTATTCTATAACATAGACTTATGACAGAAGTAGTGTTACAACCATCTTAACTCCCATTCCATAACATTGACAAATGACAGAAGTAAAGCTATAACCATCGTAACTCCCATTCTATAACATGGACTAATGACAAAAGTAATGGTACAACTATCATAATTCCCATTCTATAACATGGACTTATGACAGAAGTAGTGCTACAACCATTGTAACTCACACACTCTAACATGGACTTTTTAGAATGGGACAAGGGAAATATAAAAAATAAAATAAGAGATAAGACTACAATCAAAATTCTATAAGGTTTTGAGATGAACTTCTGTTAAATGCTGTTTCTGTGTGTCCAGTTTTTGTCTGTGCTGCGTCCACCCGGTCCCACTGACCTCCACAGCGTGGACAGTATGACCCTGGAGCTGAAGGAACTCGAGGAGTGGAAGCAGGTGACTGCATCAGGGCAACCTGTGACAATGTGTGGTTATGTAGGGCAGCCTGAGGCAATGTGTGGTTATGTAGGGCAACCTGTGGCAATGTGTGGTTATGTAGGGAAGCCTGTGACAATGTGTGGTTATGTAGGGCAACCTGAGGCAATGTGTGGTTATGTAGGGCAACCTGAGGCAATGTGTGGTTATGTAGGGAAGCCTGTGACAATGTGTGGTTATGTAGGGCAACCTGAGGCAATGTGTGGTTATGTAGGGCAACCTGTGAGAATGTTTGGTTATGTAGGGGAACCTGTGACAATGTTTGGTTATGTTGGGGAACCTGTGACAATGTGTGGTTATTTAGGGCAACCTGTGGCAATGTGTGGTTATGTAGGGCAACCTGAGGCAATGTGTGGTTATGTAGGGAAGCCTGTGACAGTGTGTGGTTATGTAGGGCAACCTGAGGCAATGAGTGGTTATTTAGGGCAACCTGTGACAATGTGTGGTTATGTAGGGCAACCTGAGGCAATGTGTGGTTATGTAGGGCAACCTGTGACAATGTGTGGTTATGTAGGGCAACCTGTGACAATGTGTGGTTATGTAGGGGAACCTGTGACAATGTGTGTTTTTTAGGGAAACCTGAGGCAATGTGTGGTTATGTAGGGCAACCTGAGGCAATGTGTGGTTATTTAGGGCAACCTGAGGCAATGTGTGGTTATGTAGGGCAAACTGAGGCAATGTGTGGTTATTTAGGGCAACCTGAGGCAATGTGTGGTTATGTAGGGCAGCCTGAGGCAATGTGTGGTTATTTAGGGCAACCTGAGGCAATGTGTGGTTATGTAGGGCAACCTGAGGCAATGTGAGGTTATTTAGGGCAACCTGTGACAATGTGTGGTTATGTAGGGCAACCTGAGGCAATGTGTGGTTATGTAGGGCAACCTGAGGCAATGTGTGGTTATGTAGGGCAACCTGAGGCAATGTGTGGTTATGTAGGGAAGCCTGTGACAATGTGTGGTTATTTAAGGCAACCTGTGACAATGTGTGGTTATGTAGGGCAACCTGAGGCAATGTGTGGTTATGTAGGGCAACCTGAGACAATGTGTGGTTATGTAGGGCAACCTGTGACAATGTGTGATCATGTAGGTAAACCTGAGGCAATGTGTGGTTATGTAGGGCAACCTGTGGCAATGTGTGGTCATGTAGGTAAACCTGAGGCAATGTGTGACAAAAGGTGACAATTTCTGGCAATGAGTTGTAATGAGTGCCTATGTGTTGTAGTGTGTGACAGTTGGAGGGGCAGTCTATGTCAGGTCTTGTGTGGCAATTTGGGGTAATGGCATGTCATCATATCCCAATACCATGGAGCAATGCCAATGATATGAATCACTGGATTGTCTGTTTCAGACTTGATCATTTACAGACCGCCATCATATAGCTGGAATATTGCTGAGTGTGGCATTGAACAACAAACAAACAAACAAACAATATGGGATAATGCATAGCTCCAAATAAGCCCTGTATTAGCATAAAATATACAATACACAATACAAATCACCATTTTCAAATTAATTTTGAGTTGCTTACATACAAATATGCATGAAAAAATTGAAGTGTCCTAATAGTATAACAACACTTCCAATGTCCATCCTCATACCTCCATGTCAGAATGATGAGATCTGATGGTTCACTCCTGCCTGGGAGGGAAGTAAATGTCTGAGCGGGAGAAGAACTCAGCACTTTGATTTTTCTGAGTCATGGAAAGTACTGTGACATAGAACATGATGTGATGATGATGTGATGTGAAAGTGTAAATTAGCATAGTTACCATGAACACAAAGCCTTGACACTTTTCAGAGGGGTACACAAAGTATGTGATCTAGAGTACCAGCTCTTGGACTTCCATTTTGTCTAAGCCTCAGTGGCTGAGTGGGTTAGGTCACTGACTTTCTGTGTGCTGGCGAGTAGGTGCCTGATTCTGAGACTGTGGTTCAAATCCAGGATGGGAATCAACCTAAACAATGTACTAGAATCTGTACTTTACTTAAAAAGTTTAATCCCAAATATAACATTTGTTATGTTTATAGATGTAGCTGGGAAATAGTTTCTGATTGTGTTTGCATATTCAGGTTTTGGATCTTTTGTGGAGTGACCCTCGCCCCCTCCCAGGCTGCCTGCCGAACACATTCCGGGGAGGGGGATGCTACTTCGGCCCAGACACGACACGCAGCGTGCTGGACAAACACAACCTCCAGATGCTCATACGAAGTCATGAATGCAAGATTGAAGGGTTTGAGTATATGCATAATGGAAGGGTAGGTGCTGCATACCTCCTGGTATAGCATATTTAATTATACAATTTAACAAACTTACCTGTATTCACAAAGCTGAATCTGTAAGATTCTCTAGGGTGATATTATTACCCAAGTGAGGTCAGACTATCCCTTGTTATCCCCCCTGAACCTTGGTTCACCTGGCAGCACATCTCATGCCAGGACATGTTTGTCCCAGTGGCCACATAAAACACATAAACATCAAATTCAATAGTTACAAAATGTGTTCAACAACCTCTTCTAAATGTTTCTCGGCAGTGAGTAGTTTCAAGTTTATTCATGGCATTAGGATGTGAACTAAACTTTCAGGCATGTTAGAAACATATCTCCCCAAAATGTGTTAAAAAGCTACAGGGATACATGTGCATTTGTCATCATAAGGAGGTTTTTTTTAAGGAAATCCTCAAAATTGAAAAATGTTCTGACAATAATAAGGTGTTGTTTTTTCATAAGATCTGTTGCTCAGCAACTGAAGAGCCCAGGCAGGGAAAAGCCTGTTTCAGACATTACTATCTCGTTCAAATGGCAGGGATAAAACACATTTCTGTTGGAGAAAAACAGTACCAGGAACCAATCTGCATAACAAGGGTTTTGTTTTTTTGTTTTACTGATTAAAAACAAATCAGGTTCCTTAAATATCTAGCATCAAAATATATTTTCCTCCAATGATAAACATATACAGGGCACTTAATGACAAAATAACAGCTTTAGCTTACACAAGCAATACACCTTCACTTCTCTTTTATACCTGTATGCATTACAAATCAACAGCTAACCCTGACTAAATCCTGACAAAAGTCAACAACAAATAAGGATTTAACAGTAAATAGTTTTTGATATTATTTTCACTTGTACAGCCCGAGAAGATCTGGGTTAGAATTGGTCTTCAGCAAACGTAAGAGGCACACCCACTTGGTTGATGCATCGTATACCAATTGCATAGATCACTGCTCATTTGTCAATCACTGGATCAGACACGATTATTTCCAGATCTCTGTCATATAGCTTGAATATTAATAAGTGCTGTGTTAAAGAACAAACAAACAATTTACACTAGGTGCTGACAATAGTTTCACCTGTAAACCAGGTGTTGACAATATTTTTTTTGGTAAACCAGGTGCTGACAATATTTTCTGCTTCCAACTACTATGACATCGGCAGCAACAAAGGAGCGTATGTGAAGCTGGTGGGCGACAGCCTCCAGTGTCACATCAGCCAGTATGTCAGCACAGCGTCAACAGGACTTCGCAAGATCACATTCACTCAGAGGTATTGCCATTGCACTGACATTGTTGCAAACATCAAGAATATTGCCAGAAATGTCAAATATTTGCTGAGAAGTCAAATCCTGACAGTTTTTTAATTTGTTCTATCCTATTATAGCTCTTGTTACATAATCAACTAAAACAGAGAATCAAAACACAGAGTTTCTGGTGATCCCATTGTTCAGTCAAAAGTAAATCACATAGATATAAAGAATGAACCATACTTGAGTAAGATAGTGTAAGACATAACGATGAGGTGTTATCATATCAGTCCCTGTCTTACTTCTGCCCAAACCATAAAACAGTACTGTCAACTTTTGACTTGACTCTAAAACCTGAAGACATGTCTATTCCTGTTTGTACTGGATTCCAAAGCTCCATAGAAATCTGTACAATATATATTGCTGGGTCCTACAAATGTACCACCAAATCCCTGTCTCAAAGACTAACCATAATCCATAATGCAATCAAGGAAGGACTTTCTTTACATTCACAGAAAGTATTTGAGACAAGTGGAATTAATACCATGTGGATTCTCAAAAACTCAAAGGATTTGCTTGACTTTGTACAATCCTAGAAAAGAACCAAGTTCCATTCTGTCAAAACATTTGATTTTTCAACTTTGTTCACAACTATCCCCCATGGCAAACTTAGGGAAAAACTTCATTCCTTGATCCATGGTGAACACAAATACTGTTACGTATCTCTATTCAGAGGTTCAGGACATTTTGTGAACAAGAGGCCCATAGGGCCTGTATCACTCACCTGGATATTTACACAATCATGACAAAATATACATTTGCATTGTACATATATAATACTGCAAATATCTCATAATTTTGACTCTGTCAGCATCTAAAATAGGTGGATGGCAAATCTGACAGCATAAAGATCTGAACCATTTCCATGCTATGATCCAGGATCTAAGTTTCCATTTTGATTGCATAAAATGGCATAAATTGGCATAAATGTATTAGTCATAACAAACAAATGTATACTATGTATCTGTTTATTATAGGGTTGGGATAATATTGGTTTGCATGTTATGGTCAAGGTTCTTACTCCTTTGGGAGTGCCAGACAGATGAACTGAAGGGCAAGTCCTGGCATTCCTCTCATTATACTCTCAATTGTACATATGGTTATATCGCCGCAAATAGCTGCAAAATTGCTGATGCAGCGTTAAGCAATATTCACTCACTCACATATGGTTATACGGTGGGGATCTTAACTGTGTCCAAATTAAAAACTCTTTTTAGCCCCGCCCCTTAGTCCCCGGAGGTCGGGGGAGGGTTCAGCCCCTCCATTTCTTCAATTTGAATCCCCAACATTGTAAGTGCTTCCAACCAAATATGGTTGATAAATATCTCTTAGGTCCAGAGAAGAAGTCGTTTAAAACAAAAACGCCAAAGTACTTCTATTTGGTCGCCCCGCCCCTCAGCCCCTTGGGGGAGAAGGCCCCTCAATTTGTACAATTTTGAATTCTCCACCAGAGAATGCTTCTAACCAAATATGGTTGATATCTATCTCTAAGTTCCAGAGAAGAAGTCATTTAAAGCAATATAGCCAATCATTATTATTTATAGTCATTCAAAAACACATGCTCATGATATAGTCGGAATCGTACAATCGACTCTGCTTTATGTAGAGATTTCTATTGAATATGGAAATGGTTTTGTCGCTTTATTTACTGGAAGGCTTCAACCTCCATAAAACAAAACAAACCTCCAAAAGACAAGAATAAGACAAGCAATAAGGCTTGCAACAAACTGCTTGTCATCTTCATAGCCTTGTCCAGCAAATCATGTTAGTTTCACTATCAGTTGGTCACCAACCTCTGCATGTTCTACACTGCATGTGTCACATCATGTCACGCCAGGATCAGCTCACTGGAGGCCTCTGCCCTGCATGACCTGAGAGAGAAGTTCCTTGCCCTCAGATCAGACTTGATGGAACAGTTCCAGAAGCATGACATGAAACTCACAGGTAACAGTATGAATCTCAGGAAATATAGGAATAGAATGGGTAGGGCTTGTTAGTTTAAACACTGTTGTAAAGTGCCAGTCTTACAGCAGTAAGAGCCATTATTATCACAGGGTGCATGCCTTCATACATACATTTCATGACCTTCTAAAATTCATTTTATTACTTTCACACACACAGTTCATGTCCTTCAAACACACAGCAAGTTGTTGTGCACACCATGATCTTCACACTAACAGTTCATGACTTTCACACACACAGTTCATGACTTTCACACACGCAGTTCATGACTTTCACACACACAGTTCATGACTTTCACACATAGAGTTCATGACTTTCACACACACAGTTCATGACTTTCACACACGCAGTTCATGACTTTCACACACACAGTTCATGACTTTCACACATAGAGTTCATGACTTTCACACACACAGTTCATGACTTTCACACATGCAGCAAGTTTTCATGCATACCATGATCTTCACACATAGAGTTCATGATCTTCACACATAGAGTTCATGACTTTCACACATAGAGTTCATGACTTTCACACATAGAGTTCATGACTTTCACACATAGAGTTCATGACTTTCACACATAGAGTTCATGACTTTCACACATGCAGCAAGTTTTCATGCATACCATGATCTTCACACATAGAGTTCATGACTTTCACACATAGAGTTCATGACTTTCACACATAGAGTTCATGACTTTCACACATGCAGCAAGTTTTCATGCATAGCATGATCTTCACACATAGAGTTCATGATCTTCACACATAGAGTTCATGACTTTCACACATAGAGTTCATGACTTTCACACATAGAGTTCATGACTTTCACACATAGAGTTCATGACTTTCACACATAGAGTTCATGACTTTCACACATAGAGTTCATGATCTTCACACATAGAGTTCATGACTTTCACACATAGAGTTCATGACTTTCACACATAGAGTTCATGACTTTCACACATAGAGTTCATGACTTTCACACAGAGTTCATGATCTTCACACATAGAGTTCATGACTTTCACACATAGAGTTCATGACTTTCACACATAGAGTTCATGACTTTCACACATAGAGTTCATGGCTTTCACACATGCAGCAAGTTTTCATGCATACCATGATCTTCACACATGGAGTTCATGACTTTCACACATAGAGTTCATGACTTTCACACATAGAGTTCATGACTTTCACACATGGAGTTCATGACTTTCACACATAGTGTTCATGACTTTCACACATAGAGTTCATGATCTTCACACATAGAGTTCATGACTTTCACACATAGAGTTCATGACTTTCACACATAGAGTTCATGACTTTCACACATGAAGCAAGTTTTCATGCATACTGTTAATGACCTTCACACAATGTCATGCTGCTCTTGACCTTCATAAATACAGCACCACCTTCCCTCGGCAAGGGACTTAACTGACTATGAAAGTCCAGTTTCCACCTTTGCCAAACTAGGCTGGTACTTTGTGTTATTTCGAGTTATGCCCCTTCTTTATCCCTCCTACCTATCCACCAATCACATCACTTGCTTTTGCTTCAAATATAATATATATAATATATATATACGTCGATGCCCAGTTGATGTTGCAAATCCTGCAATCAACCAAAATCTGCACAGCATGGCCATGATGTCAAATGCCTGATGTCATATTGACTCACGATTTTTTATTTGACTATGCATAGACTTGTTAGGCCAGACAACATAAATCAGAAATTCCAGCCTAGTTCGGCAAGGATGGAAACTAAACATTTATAGTCAGCTAACTCCCTTGCCTCAGGAAGATGATACAGCACATGCCTTCACACATGTTATGTGGCCATAAGTTATCAGGCAGTATATATTTTTGTAGTGATATGGCAGAAAAATGAGGTGTTCAAAAACTCTTAAACTGCCTTTGTAAATGATTCATTCCCTACCTCACTTCTGTGACAGAATACCTCATTCTAGAAGTTTCCAGAAGGTTGACAACGTATAATACTGCAAGACGTGGGCGATTCAATGCCTGTTATGACTTGCCTAGTGCAAACAAGATACAAGATACAAGATACACATAAGATATTACATGTATTTATTATTTTTTACCCATACGGGATACCTATCTGAAAACATCCGGTCAGATTTCAATACTGTCGTTAAGATTCAAGAGCAGAGCACATGCCTCATTCAAGACATTTGGCTGTGACAACTTCTGGACATACATAAGTGCACCGACATATAACATATGGCCTATAATATTGCTGCTGCTTCATATTTGACCCATGGTATTGCCTTTTGTGACTGTAAACCTAATCCTGTGTGTTTCAATATAATTTGTTTATTATTTATTGATCATGTTTGGTTATTTACCTACTTCACCAATTTCTGGTTTAACCTTCGTGTTTCAATTTGGCAATACAAACACCATACATGTGTTGAAAAGATATGATCAAAAACTTGAATTTGAAATAGTAATATCATACTTCTCTAAAGAAGGAATCATTACAATCCACAGCATGAAAGAGACGTACCTGAAATTTGATTCCACCAACATGTAAAATACAGCGGAGTCACATGATTTCCTGTGTACATACACAAGGGTTGATTCATATGTTTTGAGCCACATACAGAAAAACTTGACCTAAAGACATTAAACTGATACATAATCAACATAATCCTCTTTCACTTTGATACACTTTGACCAACAATGTTGGGAGGATTTCATCCCAGTATTGTGAAAGTCCTTCTCTTGGGAGTCCATGATGTCCTCCACAACTGCTATGACATTATCGTTCAATTCGAAATGTGTTCCATCTGGAGCTTCTTCATTAACCGATGGAGTCTGAAAGAGCCTGATCGGGGGAATAGGGTGGCTGCATGTGGAGTTCAAATCTACACTTATGGATTGTACCCTAGACAGTGACTGATTTGTGCACTGGCCCATTGTCCTGATGGAAGAGCAAGCCATCAGCTCCCACATCTCTCAAAAGTTCAGCCTAATATGCTCTGTTTATTGCCTGGCCTTTTGGAAGGTAGGGCCCCACCATGACTCGCTCGGCATCCCAGAATAAGGATACCATAACCTTTCCTGCTGATGGGAACCCATGGAGCTGATACTTTCTTCATTGCCAAAGTTTCTGTGGTAATGGAACGTACTCTCCCCTGGGAAATCCATGCTGAACTACCAAACTGGTGATAAGTCACTTGCCAGTCGGTCATAACCGTATCATGGATTCTCTGGTGTCTTCATGGCTCTCCCTGCCACTTACACTCTGCTGGCCACATTCTTATCATGGCCTAGGAAAGGGCATCCTTTCCTACTGTTCTATTCATTATATTCATGCATGGCTTTTGGTGTTAAGCCATTTTTTCTGCAATTATGTGATCACTGCATGTTCAAGTTTGTCCATTTTCTGACGATCACAGACCCCTGCTTATATTATGGACTTGTCACAACGAAACAAAATGCTCCACTGACTCAAGTGTTTGTGAATATAGCTCTATGACATCATGTGATGTCCACAACACATCATTTCACTATTATGCAATTCTTTCTGTGTGAGGCTCAGAACTTAGAGTCAGCCCTTGTAAGAAAACACATACACACTTTGGTCGAATTCATCTACATCTGTTTCAAAACTTTATGGTCTCAGAGTGTTAACTAAATGTTGTTTGATCTCTCTAGGATGCATTATCATCATTGCATTGATCCTCTTGAAACACTGTTGTGAAGGTCACACTAGGTAGGACTAGTAACCTGTGAGCCAGAATAGTCATTCATGGCCGTTGTGTTATGTATTAGTGCACAACTGAGTTTAAGAGAATATGCAAAATATGCATCAATTCAATGATAAAATGGAGCGAGATTGGGGGGGGGGAGAGTATTCATGCTGTCTTACTGCTCATTTCAGATCCTATGTAATTCCTTTTTTGTTACATTTTAAATACAAATCGTTAAATGATGGGGTGACGGGGTGTTACCTGTGATTGTTACAGGTAGGATATCCAGGTGTGACTGGGTGTTACCTGTGATTGTTACAGGTAGGATATCCAGGTGGGACTGGGTGTCACCTGTGATTGTTACAGGTAGGATATCCAGGTGTGACTGGGTGTCACCTGTGATTGTTACAGGTAGGATATCCAGGTGTGACTGGTTGTTACCTGTGATTGTTACAGGTAGGATATCCAGGTGTGACTGGTTGTTACCTGTGATTGTTTACAGGTAGGATATCCAGGTGTGACTGGGTGTTACCTGTGATTGTTACAGGTAGGATATCCAGGTGTGACTGGGTGTCACCTGTGATTGTTACAGGTAGGATATCCAGGTCGGACTGGGTGTCACCTGTGATTGTTACAGGTAGGATATCCAGGTGTGACTGGGTGTTACCTGTGATTGTTACAGGTAGGATATCCATGTGTGACTGGGTGTTACCTGTGATTGTTACAGGTAGGATATCCAGGTGGGACTGGGTGTCACCTGTGATTGTTACAGGTAGGATATCCAGGTGTGACTGGGTGTTACCTGTGATTGTTACAGGTAGGATATCCATGTGTGACTGGGTGTTACCTGTGATTGTTACAGGTAGGATATCCATGTGTGACTGGGTGTTACCTGTGATTGTTACAGGTAGGGTATCCAGGTGTGACTGGGTGTTACCTGTGATTGTTACAGGTAGGATATCCATGTGTGACTGGGTGTTACCTGTGATTGTTACAGGTAGGGTATCCAGGTGTGACTGGGTGTTACCTGTGATTGTTTACAGGTAGGATATCCTGGTGTGACTGGGTGTTACCTGTGATTGTTACAGGTAGGATATCCATGTGTGACTGGGTGTTACCTGTGATTGTTACAGGTAGGATATCCATGTGTGACTGGTGTTCTGCCATGGAGGAGGTGGTGGAAGTGGACGTACCCTGGCGGATGCTCAAGCCCAAGATGGTCAAGTCTGACCAGGACGGCATGGTGCTGTACAAGTCCATGTTTGAGGAGGTGTATGTACAACACAGATACAGCAATGTGAGTCTTCAGTTACACAGTGGCTTTGAGGCTTAACCTTTAAACATGCAAAATCAGGCGTTAAGTATTTGTTTTCTTCATTTGATTTCCCAAACTATGTTCAATATCACCGTGACAAGATTGAGAGCATTGAAGAAAACAGAAATCCAGAGAATGGTGCCGGATAACATAGACTGATCCCAACATATTAGATAAGGAAACCACCAGCAGAACTGTTTACACATATTCTCTACAGAAAAAGTAGGGCATATATGCAAAAAACAGATGATAAAAAAAGTTTCAAATAGCTATCAAGTGATGGAATTAGATGGATAAGAAAAAGGCAAGGTTAGGTGTAACATGTCAATCAACAGAACATGTTGATGTTGTATTGTAAGGGTGCAAACAATCAAGAAAGACAACAGGGGTGTGTAAATAAAATTAACATCTGGGCTGAATTGATCAATAATTGGTCATGCCCCCGTGAGTGGTCGAACATTCATTTATAATATAATATGGCACTGCATGGTCTGAATCAGTTTCACAATGACAATTTGAGGGAATCTTGTCCACTCCTCTTGTAGCACGTCGACCAGTTTGTCTTAACATAGCAGATGGGTTTTTAGGTTGGCGTACACGTCTCTCCATCATGTCCAATTCTGACGTTTGGCTGCTGGAGGTTGTCAGTTATGATACATGCACAATGGGCATGAATGTTATCATCTTGAAAGACAAAGCATGGAGCAGCATGGCCCACAAACCACACAACCATAGGTGTCAGATTGTCATCTCGGTAGTACTGTCCAGTGACCCTTTAACGGAAAATATGCTTTGGCATTCTGACAGTCATAATGATCCTGTCCCATATTATTACAGACCAGCTGTCATGTTGCCTTATATTGATATTCACATGACGTTCGTTAAGACACCTCCAAACCACCATGTCCACGCCTAACCAGAAAGTCAGGAGTGAATCATGGGAAAACATTAAACGGGACCATTGGCGACTCTCAGCACTACTGGCATCTGGCTAGAATGTGAAGACTTATGTCACAACACATGGTCGCCGAGCATGCAGATTTGATGCAAGCAGACAATTACTACTTGTCAGTAACTTGTACGCTGGTGCCTTGTGCAAGTGATTAACATGAGCAAGTTAATATTTGATAAATGTGCTGAGTTGGTCTTGCGTAAAATGTATCCATCACCAAAGAGTGAGGTACCTGTGTGTAAGACTCGAGGAACACATTTCACACGCATCACACAGGGCCGACTCAAACAGTGTTCTCACAGTTAAGCATAGAACTCTTGAATTTCAATTAAAATACTGCTATCAAATTAATGTTGTTAAATATTTTGGGTACTAGAGACCATTGAATGCATATTGGCCATGGTCTAAACGTTGAAATAGTGTCCTCAATGATTAGGCACCAGGTCCGAGTCCTCTTACCTACACTAAATATAATAATCAAAACAAGTTCATTCCCATGTGTTGGCTCGATTGATATAAATATGGAAATGTTTATACTTCAATTTCATTGATGACATTACACAAGGCTACAGTATGTTGATGTAATAGTTCAAGAAGGTTATGGAACAACATACATTCACTGTTGCTGTAAACTCTTAGTGACGGGTAGTAAAGTTGGAACAAATTCACTTGGTGTTTGATGTGAAACGGGTCATCTTTGATGATTTGACATTTAGTCAGTGAATGTTGGATGTGCTGCTACATGGGATGCAGAGTGTTCCACTCACACACACACATTGATATACTTGTAGCACAACAGCCCCACCTTGACAGAGATGCTGTATCGCCACAAGGACAGCTTGGAGACTATCTTCCGAATGTTTGATCGAGACAACTCTGGTTTTATCTCAATGGAGGAGTTTGAGGAAGCCTGCAATATCCTCACTCGACACACCAGCATGCAGTTGCAGCCTCAACATATTGCTGACATCGCCAAAAGTCTGGATCTTAACGGTGATGGAAAAATAGACTTTAATGAGTTTCTAGAAGCATTTCGAATTGTTGATGCACATGGGAAAGAGAAGAATATGGCTCGACGACCAAGTTTAAATGGTGACGAAATCAGTGAAGAGCTCTTGAGTGACCAGGATGAAATCAGCTTGATCAGTAAAACAGACTCCCAGATGAACCTTAGAGTCTCGAGGAAGACTGACTCTCAGATAACCCTGAACAGTGCCATGGGAATCAAGAGACTGTCTAGGTAGACCTGTCTCAATGATTGCTGTTTGATGTCAGTAGACACTGGCAGCAGTGCAGTCAGAGTGTGCTACAACATGGCACCGGGCCTAGAAGGGGTACAATCATTAGGAAACATTAGGAATCATTATGAAAACACTCAGGTCCTTAAGCCATCTGTAAACACAGGTTTGATTGAGCCATCCCTCTCTGACAATATATATTGCAATCTTTTCAGTGTCAGTAATGATAGTATCTTTCAAAAATGTTCCAAGCTAGTCTTCCAACATTTTTACACTTATATATATATATGAAAATATAAATATATTGTTCTGTACTATATATTTTTCTGATGTGGGTGCATAAACACATTTGAGAAAAGAGGTATGAAATAATGTGAATCTCTGTGGATTGTTATGTTGACTTGGTTTGAAATAACAAAAAGACCCTTGTATTTGAAATGTCTACACCATGCCACATGATACCAATGACTTCTTATCCTAATGGCTCATTCTGGTTCAGCTTCTTAACGTTACCCTACATCTTAGGTTCCTATGTAAGTGTCAGTGTGTTTGCAAGATGCACTTGCTCACAGCTGACTGTGAAGTCTATATATCAGTCCAACTTCGGCCATATGTATTGGCTGGGTGGGACACAGACACCTACACAATATACATTTAACTCAGAAAGTAACTTCATAGAAAAGAACCAAGACTGAGGTTTTGAGGTAGACATATTACTTACTATTATTGCTAAATCTATTTGTACATGATATGATATATGATAGAGAAATTACTCTTTTGTTCAAATAACTTTAAACAAGAATTATTCCTAAACACGAACATGATGTCAAAATATGACAAATGAGATCAACAGCAGAAAAGAAACAATGCTGAAGGTCATATCTTGTTTGTAAATTAATTTTCACTACTTAGGCCTACCTAAAGATAGTTTATAAAGCTTGGTTTATGACATTTGACATGAACCCTCCCCAGGGCCTTCAAAGTAATCTTGTATGAACTTGTATCACTTTCAAAATTGTGGATTATTTGTATTAGATTTTTATCCAAATCTTTCACAGCTATGAGGCATAAGGTGTTTTATTTCTATATTTTATTTATTTCTAAACAAACTGTCCTAGAGAACTGGCCGATCCAGAGCGTGTGCCCTTTATTTTTCCAGCCACCTTACACCTCAACCACATCCGCAGGCAAATGACTTGATGACTTGGGCGTTATGCTCACACACCTTTATCAAAATCCTGGCCCCGCCTCTGTGTTTGTATGAAGGTAGACACTGAAATCATATGAGGCAGGGTGTTTGGTAGTGAGACAGGCAGGTATGAATCTAAAGAAGAAATTTATAGAAATACATTTAATAGTATCATACAGATATATTTACTTAAGGTTTACTTTAGGTGTGGGTAAACAATTCCATCTGCTTATTTCAAGTATGTCAAAATGTAATACCATATGTATCTTTATCATTTAACTGCAGCATTTATCCATGGAATTAGCCTTGGTCTTAAATTGAGATTCCGAGCTGAGTGTGTTTCAGTATCATAAATATGATATAGAAGGCATAATAAATGTACTACGAAAGCAATTGGCGAGGATAAGACATATTTGTTATTCCTCATATTTGATTATTACAATATACAGAAACACACGAGGGTAATAAACTCTATCATAAAATCACAAAGAAAACTCTCAGAAGCCTTAGAAATCTGCTGTCACAACCTATCTGCCTTTGAAGATCTAATCAAGCAATGGACTCTTTTTAATTAGTATCCAATCAGCTTGTTACAACTTTTTAATCTGTACCGGTACTTTTTTTTACTGTACATCAGGCTTCATTACCTGTGTGCTATTTGTTATGTTACTGTACATATGGCTCATCCAATTATCTGTGTGCTACTTGTTATCCATTGCCTGTTGTTGATAATGTAGATTTTAATCTGGTGTACCACAACATATCATGTATATATACCTCTCATCACTTCGTTGTTGTCACTCCAGCTTCATAACGGTGTAAGAATCTACATCGAAACATTGTTAAATGCAATAAAAACAGAAGTAGTTATCAATAAAGTTGTATATAATGTTAATCTTAAAATAATCAAATTTAAGACATAGGCTATAATTTCGCTCAAAGAACTACATTTTAGAAAGCATGCAGTGTTTCAGTAAACTGCCCCATTAATCACATATGGCAAAATGATTTGCAGCCATGTTCGTCTACATAATCACCAAGACATCAGATAAACCCTATCTAAACCTATTGGGAATGATAGTCCGTAGTTTATTGAGTAAGCAGAGATTGAATTGATGCATATAATTCTCAAAGAGATTGGTAGTTGTCCTCATTTGAATATTTATTGGATCGTGATATACCAAGTTTATTCAAGGGTAAATTGACTGTCACAGACACAGTCTGTACATAACATTACCTATTTCTTTATGAATGGTGATGACCTGTGTCACTTTGACACACGTGCCTAAATCTTGTCACAAATGGTATATTAGAAATTGCAGAGAGAAAATCAAACCATCCACTGTCATGAATGAAACATGTGTAAAACAGCCAGGCTCTAGGCATCAAAATTACTTACAAATCACATTTTTTACGAAAGTGTTTGACAAAACTTTGACTTGATATATAACCTTGTCCCAAAGTAGAATGACAACAATGGTCCACCAAAACAAAACATGTTTGACCCCTCTATTTCTGTCTTTAATCAAATGTAATTTGAGCACACTGAAATAAAAAGTGTGCACAAACAAGTCACAATAAACTGCAGCAAATATCCTCCCAATACGACAAGGGAGACTTTCAGAATAGGAACCATCAGCTCTGTCTGTATTGTGAAGGAACGTTTTCTAATTATCCTTTGGCATTTTTTATCGTAATGTAAAGTGATATATCCACTTCCCAAAGAAGCCCCTGTTATGACCTGTAGCCTCGGTTTGTAGTCCTACTGAGCTACGTAACAGTATTGACATGTGTACATGTACTTACACTTTGAAGTCTTCCTTCCCCAACTTGTGTATGTTGTGCTTCAACTAATGTACACAGACACTTGCTGTCAAGATGAACTACTGTCTTTAGTGAATAAAACACAGTTCACATCATTGGCTTCTGTGGTTTTTTTATGTTCTCATTTTCTTTCACGTGTCCAGACAGTTGGTCCGACCTGATGAAGCATGAAGTCGGCGGTGCTGCTGTCATGGGTCTGGGCGAGGAAGAGTGTCCACCCGGACCGTCCCTCACGCCTTCATTTGACGGCCATATGTTTGCCATGCGTCACATTTGTTTCTACAAGTAGATAAGTAGGGCCTAAAGATTTGAAATTCAGGAACTGCCCCTTCTTTGCTCAGGCTCCTAGCTGCATTAGTACAAATCCGGGACAATCCACTGATTACGGAAAGATGCGAGTGGTGACGAGGGTTCCAAACAAATGAACGAAGACCGCAGGTATAGTGTTAGAAGCACCCATAAAATACCCCAACAAGTCGGAGTTGTAACGCATGTTGGAGACCATCATGATAGTATCATTGGGTCAGCATCATTTCTGTACGTCAATGCTATTTAACCAGTAACAGTGTACATGTCAGTGGGGGTTTCAACCCAGCGGGAATAGATAAAGAATGCTTTGAGTAGTATAGGGAATGGGGGTTCTAGCTCACTGCCACCTAGACCAGATTCATACCCAATAATGCTACTACAGAGGACATTTTTATACAAATAATGCAATGCGATCCAGTGATCGTCATGGATCAAGATTCATATCGAGGAAACAATTTATTCTTAATCTCCAACCAGTTCTCTGGTTTTGTTACGGAATACTTGGCGCGCTTGTTGTCTCCCCTCTTCTTTGAATTTTGGTTTTCACTAATCATGCCACTGGTCTTACGAGAATTTGATCGATTCTCCTGCTTCATTGCGTTGTATTTTGTGAGTTCTGACAACACTAAACGAAACTCCTCCTCAGATATCTTGCAATCAGCCAGTGCAGTTGAAATATGATCCTCAATGCTATTTAACTTTGCTTCAGCAAGTACACGAATACTGTCATGTTTTAATGCTTTCTTTTGCAACTTACGAGAAATATATTTAAGAGCTATTCCTGCCAAGTCCAGAGATTCCGGCTGCTACTTCCATGCCAAGTACGACAGGCGTGGTGATTATTGTTGATAATAAACACCGGCTACACCAAGTCACATCCTAGCTGCTGCAAGTGCAGTGTCAACTCCATCAAGAGCATTCGCAGCTCTGCGATACTTTTTATATAATCCAAATCTAGAATCACGCTCCTTCTCTATTTGATGTTTTATGTCACTTATTTGATGTAATTGAAATCCATCAACAGTATCCATCTTTTCAGATGTTTCATCGAGCGCTGGATATAAACCCATTATATATATTATTATATTATATGAGTCTTTAATTGGTCAGTTGAGAATTCCTTGAGAGTATACATCAGCCTTATTAGGTGTATATTATATGGCATAAGGATCTAAGTAAGCGAAATGTTCCTCCTATTAGCGTGGATGTCCATGAGGTTTGTATTAATGAAATTGTTTCCCGCGCTGAAAATACAACATTGACGTTCATGTCTTTTAAACCATTTAATTCTTAGGCCCGGTAATATCTCGAAGGCTTCCTCTGGCGCATCCCCAGTGTAGCGCTTGGGGGTATATTCTTCAAGTTATTAAATACACCACTGAATTCAGTAACAAACTTTAAACTAACATCTTTTAATGCTGGGCGACTCAATAACATATGACCCGGTTCATCTGGCAGGGGAGCGACTAACACACTCTTTTGTTTTGAGGGAATATTAGCCCCGAGTATGATCCCACTATTTATTATCTTAGTTAAATGATGCGCCTTGTAGTTATAAATGCTGGTAATGCTGCTGTCAACATTACGTCTACCAGACGAGTACTAATTTCCTGGCCCCGAGGTTATTAACGAATGACACTCGCGCATTAATCCACACACCTCTTTGCAATACCATGGAAAAAGAACTAGAATGAATTAGCCAAACCGTTCAACGTCTATGGGACGTGGAGATCTTCACGAGTCAGTAGACATGAATGAGGGATTAACCTGAATCTTTCTATAAGAGTCCGCAAGTCTTGGGGGACCTAGGCATGAAAAAGGGAATGCCAAGATTACACCTGACCCCAAAACCAATAAGATAATTACGCATGTCCAAAGCCTTGCCCTAATCACAGATGCACTTGTGGAGGTAGGTCCCCACTGACTGAATCGATGGTCAGGATCCGTGACTTGGTGGATTGCGTGTGATCGGTCCCCCTTCAGCATGGAACGTGTCTCATAATACCAATCACTGTATTGTCTAATCTAGTTAAGCAATACACAAACATCTAGTCATTGACGGGTTTTCCCTTGTGAATCAAATGTCACTGATGAAAATCGGACTAGGAGGGTAATATAGTATGTGCATGTTACCATGGCTACAACAGAATTGGTTTTAATGATTCAAACAACTGTTTTTGTGCATTTCATGGTACCCTACCGGTGTCAAATACACTCAATATTGTTCCAATGTTTTCTATAAATATTAGTTTTTCTGATATTTTTATAATAAAAACTAAATATATATAGAATTAAAATATTCATACAGGTTTCATTGCCTACAGTATATCTACAATAAATTGAACTGTAGACGTTTACGTGTCAGACTGAACACTGACAACTATACAAAGCAGGCTATAGTGACGTTACATGGAGGTACCCAGCACCCATCGCGCTCGCTGAATTCTATTGTCCAGCGGCGGCAGTGCAGTTCTACATGCCAAAACATCTACAGAGAGTTGTCATGGCTGATTGAGTTTACCTATTGTTATAATGGTATAGGCACTCACACCTCCAAACCAATTCCCCTTGACTTTGGCATAGACCTGGAAGAACTCATTCTACCCCCCAACCCCACCCCACCCCCTCACACTCACACTCACCTCCCCCCAACAAACAACCCTGATCATTCCCCACCTCCAAATCACCTTGAACCACTCATAATCATCCAGCAACATCCCCAACCAAACATCTCCACACACAACGCAACTGCCAAAAAACCACCCTCCCCAAAACAAAGAAAGCGCCCCTCCCACTCACCACTGGATTCCCAAATCACTCAAAAGAAAACCTGCTCCCAACAAACACCCCCGCAAACATCCACTCCCCCAAAACATATCCTTCTAGCATTCTCAACTACATCCACACCCCTTAATGACACTTACTCTACAAACAAATTCGCCCTCTGCCTACACAAAGCCAACATAACTTACAAATACATAAACAGATGCGGCAGAGGGTTCAAACTCACCTTTCCATCACAAGAATCACTCCTACACGCAAGCAAAAACCCTAGCATAGACGGTTTAAACATTCCATGGCAGGTGCCTAAGTGGTTTACCCAAATACAAGGAGTCATACACATAGATTACAGAGACACACAACAAGACATACAAGACTACATTCATATGGCAAACAAAATTCACACACAACCAAAAATCATCAACTTTAAAAACATCAACAACCGCACACCTATACCGGGCAGGACAACCACACAGACAGTCTTCTTTACCTTCAAAACTACAAATCTTCCCACTCACATCATTTTCGGCACACTCACATACAAAGTTCACCCCGTAAGAAAAAAAACCCAACAATGTAACATCTGCCACTCATTCAATCACCCCACTTCCATCTGTCGTGAGGCGCCCATGTGCCAAAAATGTGGCTCGTATAGACACGAAGCCACAGAATGCGCATGGGCCCCATACTGCATCCAATGTAAAGTAGAAGGCCACACAGCTACACAAAACACCTGCCCTATCAAACAAACACATATACTCAAACTTAACAAACACATCACCAAGGAACACTTACCCAAACCAGCAACCATTCCCACCCACAGCAGCATACCCGACTACTATGACCTCAACACTTCATCAGACTCTATGGCCAGCTCCCTAGCCCTTCAAAATACCAGGCTATGTTTTCATTTGGAAGGACAGACCATGTCCTGTAAATATCCCGGGCCCACCACATGGTGGGCTGGGCATTTTCATTAAAGAAGACCTCAACTATGACATAATTGACATCCCTACCCCAAACCTTGAATGCCTGGCCATCAAAACTACTATCAATAAAACTAATATTACCATCATAAATGTTTACCACTCCAGAAAGAAACCCTTCTCAGTTGAGGATCTAGATATACTAACAAAATTTATTGACCAAAACACACTCTTTCTTGGTGATTTCAACGCCCACCACCCACTGTGGGGCACAAAAAACTATACTGATAAATACGGCACTCTCATAAATAACTGGATTGACACCAACGACCTTATTTGTCTTAACAACAACCAACCAACCAGAATCCCTCTCAACCCCCTCCAATCCCCCACCTCTATCGACCTATCTATCAGCACACCACACCTCCAATCTAAACTCAGTTGGGAGGTCCATACAGACACCTGGGGCAATGATCACCTGCCCATCAAAATTTCTACAACTATAACCCCATCCAGCCAAAACCCTACACCATCCCCACCCCCCCTCAGACCACCACTCCCAGCAACCTAGATTCAACTTTAAAAAAGCAGACTGGAACAAATTTAAAACTCTGTGCAACCAAACAGACATCCACGACATACACAATCAAGACAACGACATATTTAACACCAACTTCACTCACACCTTACACAAAAAAGCAATCAAATGTATTCCTACCATCAAAACATCACCAAACCACACACCTGTACCCTGGTGGAGCCCTGACATTCAAAATTCAAGAAAATTAAGGAAAAAAGCACTAAACAAGGCTTAGCGGGACAAGACAAAAATCCCCTTAGCCAAAGCTCTTAGAAACTCTACAAAGCAAGTACCTTGAAAATGGGGAAACAAAACACCAAAATTTTATGGAAAAAACTCAAAGCAATAAAAGGTGACTCTAAAGCCCACTCGGCCCTCACTTTTCCTAACTTAAATTCAGATAAAGAAAAGGCTAATGCCATGGCCGCTCACTTCTCAGCAACAAGTAGCTCCACCAACCACACACCAAACATGCAAAACATAATCAAAAACCCCCCCA